GATAAAGGAAATAATGTGTGTATCACATCTAGCACAGTACCTGGTACACAATACACACATAACTGGTAGACATTACTGTTACTTCGATTTATGCTATTACATCGAGTACTTTTACTGTTGCTATTACTTAATACCACTACTACTATTATGACTATTACTACTACTACTAAGGGACAAAGGATGAGCACTGGAAACTCTGGATGTGAGAGCAATAAGTAGAGTTCATTTGCTTTCAACTCTGGAAATCCAAGAATAAAAGTGATGACTGTAAAATTTCTCGATATTAAATCATCCCTAATAAATTTTTCTCTATAGAGAGGATTATGGAATTAACATTAGCTTGGCATGCTTGCAGAATAATTAATTAAAACACAGAGGGAATCCCCTCTCTTTAGCCATCTTATACTTTGGAAAGCCCACCCAAAATATGCTGGAATACAAGAACAGCTTCAAATAACACTGGATATCTTTTTAGGATTTTAAGTATCTAGTGATTGGCCATCAGAAATGACAAAATAGAAAAACATACCAACGGTACCTTTTAAGCAGAGGGCCTACTGAGGAAGCCCACAGAGTGCTGCAGATACTTAGGCCTGTACTAAGGAGACCGCTAGTGACATGCAAGACAAGGTCTCTAGTGTCAAGGAACTTACAACATATTATTACAGATAAAGCAAGGGTAACCACCCAAATCATCACAGCTTGTAAAGGCTACAGGTTAGCTAAAGATGCGATCGGTGAAGAGTGAAACAGTCACATAACATTTCATGAAAGTGGTCAGAGATGCTTGAACTGAGCCCTGAGACAGGTAGCAGAGAGCAAAAGTAAGAGTTTTCAGGCAAGAGCTTTATCATAAACCAAGTCATGGAAAAAAGACTGAGGTTTATATATTTGCAGGAACACTAGGATCACTGGTTTGCAAAGCATTTTGCCAAGTGGTGAGACCTAGAATTGTATATAAATCAGCGAGCTGGTAACTTGAGAAAATCTGTTTAGGGCAAATTAGTCTATATCAAAATGCCACATGATTTGTGGATGGTAAAGACTGCAGACAAGAAAAATTTGTAAGAGGCCGTAATAATCCATAAAGACTGTAATAACGAGGACAGAGGGTTTGGGCAGGGTGATTACAGAGGAATAAAAGGGAAGAAGCAATATGAGAAAGAGTCTAAGGGAAGATGGGCAGGACTATTAACTGACTGGATATGGGGATATGTGTCTAATGAGGAAAAAAAGTGAGTCCAAGGTTAAGCCTGGATGCTTGAAAAGAACCATGAGACCCAACAGAAACGGAGTCCAGATAAAAATTATACCAGACGGGTTGAGATAAGACTGTGCCTGTGAGGCGGAGCTGTAGATTTGGGCACCACCAGCCTTGAGGCGTGTGGGACCCATCAGAGCAGAAGGCATCCAGAGAGTTGGAGGACAAGGACTTGATCTTGGAGATGCTCATAACCAGAAGACAATAAGTGACAGGAGCCAATGGTGAGGGGACTTTAGGAAGTAGGGGAAGTGTCTTTAAGAATTTCTCAGAAACCATCGCTATGAAACAAGCTCTACATGTCTTCTGAATTACATATATGATGATAACGGTAAGCTGGGATTTAAGCAAAAATTTTTTATAATGTGTCCCTATGTTCCAGACACAGTCTAGGCAATGGGGACAGAGATAAAGCCAATGAATTGGAAATGAGGACCTCAGTCTCTGCCTCCTACCCATTCAGAGCCACTGATGCTCAATGACCACCTAGCCTCACTCAGTTCCAGAGAGAATCCAGACCAATGCAATTAGGATCAGGAAGGCAAGACCCAGAATCAACCTTGCTACAGGAAAGCTGAAACCTGATATTTCAAAGCTGGTACCTAGATATATCCACAGTCAGTACTTTCCCCCCGTCTCCAAAGTTTATCCCCATTTTATACTTTGATCGTAACCAAAACTGTTCCCCCTGAGGACAATGCAACTTGGATTACTCCTGAACTTCTCTGAACTCAACCTCGCAAGAAAGGAGTCATCACCACTAAATTAGGCCCATCCTTTTCTAGATTCCTTAACTTCCCTACATATAGCCACTCAGAGGAATTTTTAACGGATACTATTTTAAGAGGGATCTGAGAGTGGTAAAATTATGCTAAAATGTCTCCAATTTCACATATATCTCAAGAAAAATATTCACTAATAATCTCAAAATAATCTTCACCCTTTCAATGAAAAGGGTAGCCTCAGCTTTAACTTTCTAATTGAAAACTGAGCAAGGCAGAAGGACTCTCCACCTCTAGGGAGGTCCCCAGACATCGGAGTCAGTGAACTCCCGGCAAGACAGCCCTACTAGAATTACATTTGTCCTCCAGCGGTGGTTTGTTTCTGTTTATCAGGGCTTACACTCTTCTGCCCATTAGTAGTAATTGCTCTTTTTTGGTTCCGTGCACTTTTACAAAACTGAAATTGGAAAAGAAACGTATAAGAAGACATCCAAAAAGACAAAAGAAAAAAGAAAACTTAAATAGTCCCAGAGCATCAAAAACAAAACAAGAAAAATTCTTTGCCTAGATGTAGTCAGGATTTAGCCTTGCATTAAGAGCCAAGATATTCCCTCAAGCTGCAAATCAGAATGCAAAATTCAAATTCCATTTACTTAATCAGCAGCTTATAATATTACAACAGCAATGAATCTAGTTTCCAAAGACTAAGGAAGTAAGATATAAGGGCAATGACTTATAGTTACAGTTTTGTCTACAAATCATTGATTTATTCACTAAGTGGGTTTCTTTCTTCTGATTTTTAGACCTAGTCTGGATTCAAAAGAGATTCAGTTCAATAAATATTTGTGCAGTACTAGATACGTGAAGATGAAAAAGGCTCCATAGCCCTAACCTCCAGGAGTTCTAATTATGAAGTAGTTCAAAATCTTATCTAATCAGGGACCAAGGTTGGCAGGAATTGAGACTGAAACAGCAGAGAGGAATGTCGGGGTCAAGGATGTGAACTCTATTCTGTGTGCTTGGAGGAAGGGGTAGACATCGAACTAAAATTAAGCTGGAGCTTAATGCGAACCAATCTGCATTTTAGACAGATCGCTATGGTGATGATGGGCTGGAGGGAGGCCAGTTGGGAGCAGGGAGAATGAGAGGGCCCAGAACTGCAGCCACAGCAGTGGCAAAACAAAAACAGGGCTGCTCGGAGAGACAGACGATGAGTAGAATCTGATTGGATCTGGGTTGAAAGGAGAGAGAGGAATCTATCTCCTCTGAGAGTTCTGTCATGCTGCCCACCACATTCCCAACATTGAGAGTCCTGTAGGAGGGAGGCAAACATCTTGCTGCTTCCTTATCTGGCCAGCTATATATTCTAAGTCCTAATGGCCGCAAGTGTTCTTCAAGGTGAACTGGGATGATCCAGTCTGATCTTCACGTTTGTTATTGTTGAATTTACTCTCACTTTTTCTTCACCATGCCTGATGCAATGGAAATGACACAAAGCTAGGGAAGTCTGGTGGTCTTGGGATTTTAATACTGTTTTTTTTGATAATGAGCAATGTGACCTTGGGCAAATCACTTACCTTCTCTAAATCCCATATTGTCTATAGTTGGGGATTACCTCAGCTATAAATAAAATCCCTTCTAGACACATCTCTTATTCATGCCAAGTAATTCTGTTCTAGTCTATCCACCAGTTACTAGTATACAAAGAAAATACTGATTAACCCCCAAAGCAGTTCAGATAAGTTATATACTAAGAGACTTCTTGGAAAGAAAAGTCCCTGAAGCACAGCAAAAAAGAAACCATAGACTTCTCTGAATTAAAACAAAGACATCAAGAAAGCAAGGCAAGTCAATGGGATTTGATTGCTGGAAAAGTGCTGATCGTGAATTAGATATCTAAGTTTTTTAAGAAAATCACCCAATGAGTTTAACTGTCTGGGACTGAAAACTAAGAAGAGGTGTGTGCCACTCCTGAACCAGTAAATCTCTATTCCCTAGTTGCTCAGTTAACTTCTAATTCTCACTGGCCATCTTGCAAATGGATTATTTTTTAGTGAAATAAAAAATTGCTCTTTATTTTTTCAGTTGTTTTTGCTGTTGTTGTTTTTGTCTAGTAGCCTTCTCTCCCTGTGAGAACAGCATCTCCCCATTCTTTCGGGGACCTGCCTCATCAGCCACTCTAGGTTCATGGTCTGGGAGCCTCTGTCTTACTCTGTAATCTTGACTCCCTTGTTACGGCAATTTGACCGTTCTTTGGGTTTCTGACCTAACCTGACCACTGCTCTTCTTTAAGATTTTTTCCTGTGGAACCGAGAGGTAGAATCCTTTCCTTCCTGATGCTAAAACTGGAAAGATACAGCCTTCAAGCTGTCAGTGGGAGAAGATGTTCTGCTGAGAAAAAAAAAAAGGGATGAGAGATGGAAAGAAAAAGGGTTGAAACATCAGTACTTAAGACCCCTGGAATTGCTCCTTGCCTTGTCAAAATTTCTTCTTTTGATTCTTAAGCCTAGATTTCCTGCCAAAACTAGTTCAAGTTGGATTTCTGTATCTTGCAACCAAAGAGGTTCTGACTGATGTAGTAATTTTCACCGTAAGGAAGAAATATGGAAAGGAATGGTTTAGATCACGTAATGATCATGACTGGAAAAATAATTTAAGTGTTCAAATACTAGTGGCATATTAGTGATATCATCTTTAAGTATGTTGAACAATTATATATATATATATATATATCCTCTTTATAGTACTTGCTGAGCCAAACAAACACAAAAGTGGTCCTTGCCAATAAACAATTATAATTTATAAGGTTTTGGTTTTGTTGTTATTGTTGTCACCAAAATGCAAAAAGGTTTGAGTCATTTGCAAGAACTTTGTGAATTTCCTTTTTAGATGCTGTTGATCTTCAGTAAAATAGGTAGGAAAGAAAAATCCATGAGATGTGTAAAGCTGGATGCCTACATAGATTATAGCCTCACAGGACATTGTTAGGGACAATGTGGCACAGGACATGTACCTACCCATCATTGAAGGCCATCTGGACCATGCCAAGGGAAAGCAATAGAGCTACACTGAAATGGCTGGTCTGTCCATCATTCAAGTTGATTCTGGGAACAAAAGAAATTAAAATCATTTTCCACCTAAGGAAAAAATAGGCTCAAACAGCTGGGAAAAAAAGATAAGGGGAATAAAAATGAAAATAACTATAAATCACTTTTCATGAGAGTCACTTGCTAAACTTGAACAGCTGGGCCTTAAAAGGCTTGGGACATAGTCAACAAACGAGTGTTAAATTCATTACGTTCTCACTTCTGCTCTGTGGTAAGCCAGTTTGACAAAGATCATCTTCACAAATTGTTTTATTATCAGATCAAGTATGTAAATTGAGGGAAAGTGAGTTCCCAAGAAGATAGGAAAGATAAAAGAAAAATTGTCTTAAGAAAAGTGGAAAAACAGATTCACGGACAAAGAACTTTAAAGCAAGATTCTTAATCTTTTTGTTCCATAGATCCCTTTGGCAATTTTGTGAATCCTATGGGCCCCTTCTCTGTCTCAATAAAGAGTATCACCATTTCCCCAATTTTCTAAGTCAAATATTCAGAATCCCTTATTTCCCTTAACCATAAACTCAAACATAAGCTGTCAACAAATTCTGTTAGCTCTACCTGCCCCCCTCCAATGCCTTCACCCTAGTCAAACTTACCTGATCTAAGTTACTACAAAGTCCTACTAACTATACTGCATCTACCCAACCCCTGTCCCATACTGCAATCTATATGTGGCAGAAAAAAACTATTCTTTAAAACTTCTGATTATGTTAGCTCATTCCCTGCATAAAACACCCCAGTGACTTCACAGTTTAATTTGAATAAAACCAAAATATCTTACTATGGTCTACAAGACCCTACATGATCTGAACTCTGAACCAATGATATAATAATGAAGGCTAACATTTGTTGAGGACTTATATATCCCAGGCCCTGGTCTAATTGTTTTTTATTGTTTTACATCTTTCAGTAATTCCATGAGTTGTGTATTCTTATTTACACCTACGTTAAAGACCTACTTTAAGAACTCAAGGCACAGATAAGTTAGGTAATTTGTGCAAAGCCAAATAAATAATAAATGCCAGGTCTGTTATTTAAACCGAGGCACTAGAGGCTAGGTTCAAAAAAAGAGTCCTGAGTCTGGATTCTTCAACACTATAATACCATTTTACTTCTCACCTCCTCCCCTTCCCCTGCCTCTCCTAACACTGTGCTCCAACCCTGCGTCTTTCTGTTCTTTGAATATACTGAGCTAGTTCCCACACTCAAGGATTTGCATATGCTGTTCCCTTCTCTGGAATATTCCTCCCTCAGATCTCCATGTGGTTGACTCTTCATTACTCAGGACTCAGCTTATTACAGGTACTGAGAGTGGCTTATCCAAATCTAGCCCCTCTTTTGTCCCTAATTAATTAGTTGTTTAACCTTCTTTGGTCATTCTTATACTTAAGAAAAATGACCCAAACTCAAGTTCCAGGGGCTGAATCTTAATTAAAAAAAAAAAAAAAAAAAGCTAAGTCTTAGGCTCTAGGCCAGTCATAGGACTTGCATTTCCTATGCAGGTGACACAATTTTGGCCAATAAGATGTAATGTGTAGTCTGCTGGGAACAGAGAGCTTCTTGCTGATAAAAAATAGACTTAAGGGAAGAAACTGTCCCTTTTTACTTAAAGACTTTGCCTAAGGTGCGTGAGGATGGAATGCCTAGAAGTGATGCAACCATCTCGCAAGCAAGACAGTAGGTATAGTCCACATACTGAGATAGATAGGCATGTAAGAACTGATGTTCTCTTACACCCACTGGCCTCTGACTAACTAATCCTAGAGCCCTGCTACCTGAAGACATCTTTTTTATGTAAGATAACAATGTCTTCTATTCTTTAAACTATTTCATGTTCAGTTTTATGTCACTCATAGCTGAAAGCATTCTGGCTGATCCACAGTTAGTCACCTCTCCAGAGAGGACTTCCCAGACCATCTTACAAAAGTTATTCTCCCCCAGTCACTCTCTATCACATTCCCATGTTTATTTTTCTTCATAATACCTAACATCTGAAAGTATCTTCTTTATTTACCATTTGCCTTCTTCCCTCAACTGTAAATTCCCCAAGAAAAAGAACTACCTCCACTTTTGTCCATTGCTAAATCTCTATTTCACAGAATACTGTCACACTCTTTCTCTTAAAATCTATGTGACTCCAGAAAAATGTGTTAATATCTGTGTCTTAGTTGGACTATAAAGATCAAATTCATTAATTCATGGAAAGTGCTTTAAAAAGGGCCTGACACACAGTTAATGCTCAATAGCTTAGTTACTATTATTGCTATTCTTATACAGGCACTAAATAAATATTAGTTGAATGACTGAGAATATAAAAAACTGAGTCACAAAGATGTGATGTATTCACCCTCTCAACTGGAACATGATGATAGGAGGACTTGTCTTTCTCAAAAGAAACAGATTTTTAAGAGGAGAAGTGGAGTAGGGCTAAAGGTCAAGAACATTAACCTCTGCATAGAAATCTTCATTTCCTGAAGAGACAACACTGAGTAGCAATAAAAATAATGGTGGCCATTTTTGGAGCACCCATCATGGTGCAGGAATTAGACGTGAACAAGACAGGTGAGGTTCCTGTCTTTATCAGCAGTGAAAGAGACTTCAACCATCCATGAATAGACCACACATTTTATTTGGCTAAAAGCCAACTATGTAACAGGCGCTTGAATATCATTAATGAAATTTAATCTCTAAAACAACAAGGAAACAATGGGAGGAAATGACCACTTCGGACCTAGTTCTGACAACAAGAGTTGACTGGTAAAGTCAAAGTAAAGTGAACTTTAAAAGAAAGTGACCATGTTATCCTGAATTTTATTTTTTCCAAGGACAGCATCAATTGTACACTCCATGTGAATGTCTTCAAAATGTTTAGAGAAAAGATATGCATTATTCATGGCATGATACTCCTAAAGAGATTATGACTCAAAAGTGTTATGATGTTCTCAAAAATGCAATTTTGAGTGCAATTGAAAATGATAAAATAAGGAGAAAAGTAGAAAGAAAAATGTAGCTACAGATATTTTTAAAAGAAAAAAGTACAGTTGAAAAGTATCCGTATCTATCTTACTCTCCATCTTGATAAATGCAGTGCCAATGTAGCAAATAGTCAAAAAGTATTGTCAAATGAATGAACAAATGAACATTGAATATGAGAGTGGCAGGGCCAGATAGACTCATATCAGAAAGATTAAGGTCTCAAATGAGCTGAGATTTGAGAAAAAATTAAAATACCAAAGTAACTTATGGTTTTATTTGGAACAAGAGAAGGCCATAAGTTTGAGCTAATGATATAATAATGATACATTTTTCAACCTCCAAAACTCAGACTAAACACTATTAGGGAGAAACTGAACCCCAAAAAGACTTTCTTGGTCAACACCTAAATGAATGTATATCTCCTGATAATGATGAATTTCAAACCACATTATGAAAAAAATTTGCAATTGAGATCTCTGGGTACTAAGAGCAGTATTAGAAGATTAGGACTAGATGAAAGAGCCCAAATAGTGAATTCCAAAATTTGAAGAGAGGTGAGCTGTGGTTGATTCCTGGTGCATTCTGAGTGACTCATCAAAAAAGCAAATACTACCACATTTCCTCCTTGGATACCACTATTAACCTTATAGACCACTCTTAACCCTGGTAGATCATCTGGGCTTACACAAGAGGGTTTATATTGCTCATGATTTGATCAGAATGTTTTTCAGACAGTCTGGAATAATAAGGTTCAGATACTAGTTTAATTTGGTGAATTAGTCACTGGCTACGGTGATGTACCCTTATATCCTAGCAGTCAGTTGACTCCCCTGGTCACCTCAGCCAGTGACTATAACACCATTCCCCCCCACCTACATCTTATATCTCTGTCCTGGTTTATTTTTCTCTCCCAAACACTTATCACTCTTTAAGGTACTTTATATTATTTATCTCATATATTTTCTGTCTTCTCCACTTAAATTTAAGTTCCCTGAGGATAAGTATTTTAATCCATTGTATTCACTGCTTTATGCTCAGTATCGAGCAGGAGGCCCTGACTGAGTGTTCAGTGAATATTTTCTTAACTGAATGAATAAGAATGACCCTTGAAATATTGTATCTTAAGTATGAAAATGAAGAAGGATATAGGCCCACTGAGTATTTTTGAGGGGGGCGTCAACTGAAGAACTTCCAAGCATGTCGCACAAAGAATGGGAAAATAAAATGAATATTTTTAGCCTAGGGGAGAGGAGACAGGAAGAAGTGGGAAGAGAAGGATGGAAGTTGGTTTGACTGGTAGAAAGCTTCAAGTATCTCAAGACTCTATTATGAAAAGGGATTATCCTATTCTGTTTTTATTTCTAAATGCTCAACTGGTATAAATAAATGATTGTTACAGGCAGATTTCAACTCTATTTTACATAGTCCAAGCTTTCCAGTAATGTCCCAGGCCACTGAGGGGGCACATTTCTCATTCTTGAAGGTTTGAAATGAATGAAAAATTCATGGGGATGATGGTCAGACTAGAGAATCTTAAGATTGTGACAGACTATGATACGTTTATTCTGTGAATGAAATCATACAGCTTCCTTGTACTGAATGTATCATTTGGACAAATGGACACAGAGAATATAGTTACAAATAAGCATAGGAATTAAACTCAATAGTTTGCAAATATAAACCTGATTTAGTAATCTTCCCAGCTTTCTGAATCAGTTGAAAAAGTTTTAAGACCTATAAGTGCTCCACTATATGAAAAAAATTCCCAATTTCTCTCTTAATTTTTTGATACTAATCTTCCGTGCCCCCCCTTCCTCTCCTTTGTTCTCACCATACACACACACTCTCAAATTTTAATCACTATAAAGATTACTGACTCATATTTCTAGAATTCCCTCAATCTTTTCCCAGATTTAACTTAAAAACAGAGGCTAAATGGTGCTGCTGGAACATCTCCTCTTGATATACAAAAAAAATTTTGCAGATTTGAAAAAGAGTAGTACCCTAACTTCCTTTCAAAAGCT